TCCTGCTGAGGAGAACACTTGAGGTGGGGATCCTGCTGAGGAGAACACTTGAGGGTCTTACATGCTTCCAATGGAAGATACGTAATTAGACTTGTGAATTATAAATGTCACTCTGTACACTAGACTAGAGCTGCAATCAGGGATACTGGTAAGGAAAATACGTGAGGCAGGGATATTAGCTGGGAGGATATAACTGCAATCTTACTGTATTAGCAGTGCTGAAAGCATTGCCAGCAGTGACAGAAAGGAGTGGATGAACCTACGTGGCAGTAGGGCTTTGTTAGTGTTTAGAGCTAGGATGTCCCCCTGCAACTCTCATGTTCAGTGCTGGGGCCTTTGGAAAGCTGCTGGTCATGTGGGTGTTGTAGCAGAAAGATCTGCTGATGGCCTCCCAGGGAAGCACACTACTGGGGTGGGCGCCAGGTTGAAGAGGCATGTCAGGACTGCCCTTGCAGGTCTATCTCTCGCCACTGCTCTCCTTGTGCCCTCTGCTTCCTGGTTGCCATGGTTTTGGCAGCTCTCCTGCACGTGCTCTTCTACCATGCTCATCTCCCAGAGTCAGCTTGCATAGACTGACGTCCCCAAACCATGAGCAAGTTAACCCTGTCCTCCTCTAAGTTGCATGCGATGGATATTTTTTTCAGTAATGCGTAACCTGACCAATGCAAACTTGCTTCATAGGATGTGAAGGGTGTTGAGAGAAAGTAGAGCAGAGATGGATGAGCCTTCTGACCTGGGCAACCAGAGCACAATGCCGCTGGTCCTTGAGAATCAGATGCGTGGAGTGGAAAGAGAGTTGAGAGTATGGAACCATGTGCTTCAGATGCTCCTGTGGCTGTCAGGTTGAAATGTCCAGCAGTCATTCCAGGCCTGGGAAAACAACTCGGGTTGGAGATGTGTATGGGGAGTCTGTGAGGACAGTTTGAGGGCCCTTTGAGAAGCGTGAACGGGGCTGCTGTCCTCTCATTTGGAGGGCGGCCTTAAAGGATCACTCTGTCAGGATGCCCAGTCTCCATCATTTCTTTGGGGGGTTGCTGGGAGGTTCTCATATTGGCCCCTTTAGAGTAATCACCCCTGAGAGTGAAGCCGCCGTGAATCACCAAGGAAAAGCCTCCCTTTGGACAAGTAGCGTTGACGCAAGGCCGAGCCGGAAAGGTCTCTTGTCCTCACCGGGCGCAGTGTGTGCTCAGATGAAGAATTAAAAGCGAGGGGTCCCGAATGCACCCTTCCCACCCTTCCCACTCAACCACGCGGACGTGTGATTGGCTCTGTGGCTACACCCCTGGCTGAAGCCCCGGAGCTGGAGTGCTGATCTAGGGGCCAAGGCCAGGCGGGAGTCCTGTGCACCTCCTCATGCTCCTTGTCTCACGGGTGGCATTTCGTCTATCACCTGCATACCATGACCGCGGCGCGGCCAACCGCGAGTTCTCTGAGACACTGACCGACTGACTGTATGGAAGTTCTTTGATGGGTTAAAAAGAAGATCCTCCACTATTATTTTTTTAGAGTGGAGTGTGGATGACAAGTGGGGTGGATCGAGGCAGGGCTCAGAGCTGGAGTCCACAGGCTCCTGATGCTTGGAAGTTCTCGGGCACCCAGGTCGCCAGCTCTGTGGAAAGACTCCTAAATTCTACAGCAAATCTTCACCCTGGATTTTTTCTGATGTCTTCCTTGAGACAAGCTGATTATAACGTTATTAGTTAAAGGTTTGGGTTGGCTTTCCTGTCCTCGAGGCAAAATCCCTGGTACCCACAGCCTAAAGGGGGAGGAGTTGGTTTCACCTTGCAGGTTCGGTCAGTGCAGCATCAGGGCTAAAGCAGAAACGGGAAGGGGAGCAGAGCGGTGCGGAGGAGGGAGGAAAGCTGCTGCGTCCGCGCTGGGAGCACGGGGAGGCAGCCCTTTCCGCCTGGTCCCAAGCTGAACGTGACGCGTTGGGGGTACACTGTAGCTCCAACCCACGTGAAGGTTACAATCAGAGAAGGAACAGCATTAATGGTTATCTCACAAGATTGTTCAGATTACAGAGAATCCAACGTCTAACCCAAATTAATTTAATCAAAGCAAAAAATACGGT